GGGTCTCCAGATGTTCTTGGACCCCCAACTCCCAAAAAGCTTGGCCAAAACAGCTACTGGCGAAGATTTCTGGCTGCTTCAGTCCGAGAACATCTGGAGCCCCAGGGTTGGGAACCACTGCCATAGAGGATTCGGGGGACACTGCTGAGTAACCAGTCGCAAAGCCTGCAGTTTTCACAACAAGTATCAGACGGCTACCCCAAGCAGCTGGCAAATTGTCTTAGGGAAGTACAGTCGTGGGCAGTGAGCGGCCTTGGGACTCCTTTGGCAGCCTCCCCATAGGTTCTGAGGCCACCGACTGTTGTTTTAAAGGGGGAAAACATGTGTTTTTCTGGTCTTGGAAACTTCTAGAAGTAGGGATTATTTTTTTTTAACCTTCAATAAGGCATAGTACTCCCCAAAACAGAAGTGGACATCTCTGTACTACCGATTTTGAGGCTTGCCATGGCTGCAGAGACTGAAAATACTGCCCCATAGAACATACTGCATGGACGGCCCCCTCCCCGTCATTGTGGAGTCTAGGCTTAAGTCTGTAATAAAATGAAGGAAATCAACCCTGAGTGCTCACTGGAAGGACAGATCTTGAAGCTGAGGCTCCAATACTTTGGCCGTCTCATGAGAAGGGAAGACTCCCTGGAAAAGACCCTGATGTTGGGAAAGGGTGAAGGCAAGAGGAGAAGGGGACAACAGAAGAGGAGATGGCTGGACAGGGTCATCGAAGCGACCAGCATGACTTTGACCCAACTCCGGGAGGCAGTGGAAGACGGGAGGGCCTGGCGTGCTCTGGTCCATGGGGTCACGAAGAGTCGGACACGACTGAACTAAACAACAACAACAAAACGAAGACCGAAAGCACAAAGTGGCCAAGCAACCCACTGAGCCAGCTTACTTTCTGCAGCCGGCACTCTGCTTTTAGGCTCTCGTAGACCACAGCTTTGCAGCAGCTTCCACTGAGGGACCAAGGGGGGCGAATGAAAAGCCAGACAAAGGGGGCCGCTGAGACGTTCAGACGCTCCGTCAGGCTGAAGAAGCGAGATGCTTTTAACCCATTCACTTCTGCACGACCCTCATCGGAGACGGATACTGAAGTAAATGAAAAAGAGAGAGGTAGCGAGGCAAGTTATTTTTAAAAAGATGCTTGTGTTATGAAGACCAGAGAATAGACGATGGACACGTGAATGACAAGATCATGTGATCAAGTTGCTGCAGCCCTTCTGTCACTTTTGTTATGGGGGTGGCAGGGGGAATCTGTGGTCCTGCAGATATTGGTGAGCTATTATCCCTATAAATTGATCGGATGACGCTGATAAGAATTAAGAGTCAAGAAGACTCCGCCGGGCTTAGGAGCCATTCAAATGGCTCTATGTTCTCCACTTCTGTTCTAAGCAATTACTGATTGCCACATCTCAATTATGTTATACGCATGCATGAGGACATAATCCCCAATACTTACAGCCTTCGTTGTAGAGGTAGGCAATGCCAAGCTTCACAGCAGCTTCAAAGTTACCCTTTTCTGCAGCTCTGAAAAGTACATATGGGTTTTTTAAAAAAAATATGATTTAACCTAAAGACAAGTAACTTAGCATTCATTAAAGTATATCTGACAAGACAGCTGCCAAACTTTCTCTTAAGAGAAAGGAGCCTCGTGGCGCAGTGGTTAAATCGCTGTCCTGCAGCCAAAACTGTGCTCACGACTTGGGGTTCAAATCCCAGGTAGCCGGCTCAAGGTTGACTCAGCCTTCTATCCTTCCGAGGTTGGTAAAATGAGTACCCAGCTCGCGGGGGGGGGGGGGGCAATGTGTAGCCTGCATAATTAAATTGTAAACCGCCCAGAGAGTGCTTGAAGTGCTATGGGGCGGTATATAAGCAGCACGCTTTGCTTTTTGCTTTGCTTTAATTGTCTCCAATGTTAGGGCACTCACCATCTCCCCTGGTAATTGGTTCCGTTGTCATACTGCTTGAATGGTTCAGAAGTATTTCTTGCCATTTGCTCATTAAACCAGAAAGAACATAAACTAACTTCCAAACTAGGACGCAACTAGTAAAACCAGGCATATGAACAGTGGGAACACTCAAGTACAGTGGGGTCTTGACTTGAGAACTTACTCTGTATTGGAAGGCGGTTCTCAAGTCAAAAAGTCTGTAAGTCTAGTCTCCATTGACCTACAGTGCATTGAAAACCGATTAATCCCGTAACCGGCCGTTTTTGTTCCATTTTGGTTTTTTTCTGGTCTGTAAGTCAATTCTCAGGCTGCAAGTCAAACCTAAATTTTGCGGCCAGAGAAGTCTGTAACTCAAAAAGTCTGTAAGTCAAGCCGTCTGTAAGTCAAGGGTCCACTGTAGAGGAATCAAAACCTTAGCTGTTTCCAATACTGCATTCTACAGCAGAGACCCTACCGACTCTTTTCATCTGGATCAACGTGGTTCCAGTGTCAAAGAGCGGATGAGAGGGAACACAGAGCTGATTAAGAAGTGTAGCGAAGGGTGAGATCATGAACCACTTGAGCCCGTATGTAAGTGTCCGATCTGACATCTCCTTCTCCTTAATTATGAGGTTCTGCAAGGTGATCTGGATTACCTTTCAAACATTTTCAAGTTGCTTGGAGAAGGCCACACTTCTTGAAAACTTGCACAGGCCCAAACACTAGTGTGGTTATCTACAAGGTACTTTAGGTGAGAGTGCACCTGGAAAAGAGGCAAGGTGGAAATTGCATGTCAAAAAGAAACCCACTCCACGTCATTTAAATGTGAAGGCTGGAGCCAATTCTCTGCACGGAGACGGTCGTTTCCCAGGACTGAGAGCCTAACGTGAGATAAACTGAAGGTGCACATTGAAATGTACTGCTTATTTTATTTTAAACACATTTATATGAAAGGGGGTTGCTATCAGAACCAGCAAAGTAGTTTGCAAGTCAGGGAGGTTATCATCCTTCCTCTCCCCAGGGAGCACTCCTAGCTCAACCCGTTTCCCCTGAAGATGCTCAGGGCAGGACATTACAGGAGCTTGGAAGCAAATGATTAAAAATCATTGTTTTTCTTTCGTTCTTTTGCATACAGTGGGGTCTCTACTTAAGAGGGGGTTGCTATCAGAACCAGCAAAGTAGTTTGCAAGTCAGGGAGGTTATCATCCTTCCTCTCCCCAGGGAGCACTCCTAGCTCAACCCGTTTCCCCTGAAGATGCTCAGGGCAGGACATTACAGGAGCTTGGAAGCAAATGATTAAAAATCATTGTTTTTCTTTCGTTCTTTTGCATACAGTGGGGTCTCTACTTAAGAACAATCCAACGGCTCAACACGTTTCCCCTGAAGATACTCAGGGCAGGACGTTACAGCAGCTTGGAGGCAAATGATTAAAAATCTTTGTTTTTCTTTCGTTCTTTTGCATAATAAGACATAAGACATAAGAAATTTATTTGTCATTGCGCTCACAAGTGGGTGCAACGAAATGAGGTGCTCTTCCCCAAGGTAAAACTGGACAACACTACAAAAAAAAGTTAAAATATACACAACTTTCACCATCCAAATATAGATACCCCGTTTTCTCTCAGCAATTAAAATTCCACCAAAAACCTATGGCCCCACATTTAAACTCAATACTGCACTTGGGTAAAAACTGTTCTTGAATCTGCTTGTCCTTGCTTTCAATACCCTGAATCTCCTTCCTGATGGTAATAGTTTAAAGAGCTGATATCCCGGATGAGAGGAGTCTTTCAGTATGTTAGATATCTTCCTCTTACATCTGTTCTTATACAATTCTTCCAAAGAGAGGAGTGAACAGCCAATGATGTTTTGGGCCGTCTTAATCACCCTTAATGAGTTCCTGATCTCAGTTTTAAAAGTAAAACTGACACATAACAACAAATTAGTTCTTTTAAAAGGAACTGTCCTCCTAATCTCAGTTTTAAAAGTGAAACTGAAACATAACGACAAATTAGTTCTTTTAAAAGGAACTGTCCAAGTTCAGGATTGTGTGAGTGGGGAGCTATTAACGCTTGACTTCACCAAATACAGTAAGATCCTCTTTATCCGCAGGATCGCTATCCACTGATTCACTTATCCACAGTTTGAAAATATTAAAAGAAAAATCCTAGAAATATATATTTCTAAAGGCAACATTACCAAAACTGATAGGAACTTAATAAATTTGGCCTTGAAAAAAAAACCTGAGAACCTCCAGATTCCTGGGAGAAGTATTACATCAGAGGCTAGTCAGCTTCTTGCATGCCCTGGTCACCTGGCCAAGGATTTTGGAACTTTGATGGCCAGCCTGACAAAGACTCGCGTGGAGTCAAAACCTGGCCTTGGTGGAAGTTATTAACGTGGTCTAATAAAGGTACTTCCCACCCTTGTTGAACAAATATAGTGCATATCTCCCTCATTCACTGTCATGGCTCCCTCCGATGGCTTCCGGGGATAACATTTTAGCACCATGGCTCCGTGGGGCACCAGGAAATCCACTCAGTGACGCCACAGAATCAGCTCATGCCTCCCCCTCCCTGCTCCCAACCCCTGAAAAAAATGCAACTTCTCAATTTTTCTGGAAGCGGCTTCTCTCAGAGAAGCCATGTAGGAATATTTGTAAAGCTATCTGTATATGGTATAGTTCTGCTTCCATTTAGTGGGCCAGTCTTGGTAATACACCCTGGGAAGGTGTATTCTTGTGTTTCCCCCCTCCCCATTATTAATTTTTTTAAAGCAGCGGATAGGTGAAACCGTATCCTGTAGATACGGCAGTCCTACTGTACTGGTGGGAGTCTTGGGCAGTGGCCAGTAAATAAAGGGAGCTGCGAATCAAAAAAAGTTTGGGAGTCACTGCCATAGGTAATTCTAAAAATCTAGAACCCCAGACAACTGATGGATTACAGGCCCCAGAAGCCCTAACTATTGATCATGCCTCTGGGGCTCCCGGCAGTTGTAATCTAAGAACAACTAGGGTACCCACGTGGGAACCGTTGCTCAATGTGTAGCTTGACTCCATCTCTCATCAGCACGGCCAAAGGGCAGAAGGATGAGAGCAGTAGCCTTAACATGTAGAGGCTACCAGATCCTAAACTCCTGTATTTGAACGTTAGAGAGATCTACTAAGCCACAGCCACTGACAGAAGTTAGATCCAGTGAATCACCCCCTTCCAATAAGGATCTGTCTTTACACCACAGAACAAATACGAAGACAAGGGTGGATGACACTTATCTTCAGACTGTTTACCACACTGCTCTGTTCCTCCTTAATTTCGTTGGACCACAGAATTGATTCTGCATAGCTGACCTGGGCAATATTTACAAGCAAGCCAAGGACAGTGAAATGTTGCCCTAGCAGGATTGAGTACTGAGGCCAACCTATTAAAAACAAGTTTTCCTCCCTCAGAACAAAGGAAGAGGTTGGGTGGGTTATGGGTCTCAAGTCATTGGGAAGAAAAACAGTTGAAGGGTTTTGGTTTGCCTTCAAAACTATCTCATTTCATGGTTCTTGTGGGTTTTACTTCTCGTTATCCTCATTATACCTCATGGAGACCTCCAGCATTTCCCATGCCACGGCAGTCTATCTACCAGGAATGGTCTGTGAAGTTTGGGGAATGGGTGTTGTCCCTCCCCAGACCAGCTTACAAGCGGCAGCACCCTGTAAGTTCTGTGGCAGGAACCCACTCATTGAATTTTCCCCAAA